CCTCTCTTCTGTGTTCTCCCTCTTCCTTTCTCTTTCTCTACCTCCACTGGTCTTTCTAAGTGGTCTCAGAGGAATGCTCTCTGGTCCAATAACCCAGGAGGCTGGCATCGCAGAGATGAGCGCGAGAAAGGAGGCGAGAGAACAAGAAGGTTGGGGGAGTAGAGAAACTGGGAAATGGAGACAGTTGCAAGGAGAGGAGAGGAAACGGGGTGGAAATTAAGATGCATGAAGATAAGATGAAAAAGCTCCAAACTTAATATGAGAACACACCTGGAGATAGATGGATGCCCAGCTTCATAACTTTTGTAAATATACACAGAGGGACGTTTACTTCACCATGCCATCACTCTACCTCTGCGCAATTACAAAGCAAAAACAGATGCCAGGGTAACCATGCAGAAAATGAACTTCTCCACTGCCGTCATATTAGTCTATGGTCTGTGTGGCACAAAGGGGAGCACGCCAACAGCTTCGGCCCCGGCATTGCTGCCTGCCTCACTCCGAAGCTCCAAAAACCCAAAAGTATGCTAGAACTTTAGTTGTTAGGACAGACTGGTTAGGACAGTGGTTGCCAGAAGTTCAAGAGATTTGTGCCCCCTCACCACAAGGCAAAAACATCCATTAACACTGGGCATAAGGCTTTACTCCAGGCATATCTCAAACTCTTTCTGTCTTTCTCTCCATGCTGCACCCTTCTTTATTTTGGTGTTGTCCAACTTGAGGAATCCCCCCACCCCATACAGCAGTATTTAGAGTATGGGAGAGAGGCATGAAGGAAAAGGAGACTTTGATGATTAGTTCACTGTATAACTTAACAGGAGCGAGCATAATTTGCATTTTAAAAAAGTAGTGATGTCCTCCTAATGAGGCAAGCTGCTAATTAGTCATTAGATATTCTTTTTCAATCCCACATCATCAGCTCATTGGGGGTAAAGCTTGTGTAAACATGTAGCCGTCAGCTGTTCGATATGCTTGGCTTTACCGAGGATGGGGGAAATTAAGCTGAGCACCTGGTTACAGCTGAAATACTGTATATTACAAATACATGTGGATAATCTCTTATTTCGTGCGATTTTGATAAAACACGTTAAATATTAAAACTCGATGTAGAATTGACATCTCTAAGCTTTCGGGAACAGTCACACACCTTTTCGTGCTCCACAAAGTCCACAAACGCAGTCCTCTCCACTTCCACAGGTTGGCCGTGTCTGTCGTAGAGCGCCAGGACAAAGTGGAAGAAGTTGGACTTGCGGAGATTTGAGGGCGGCTGCTTCTCGAAATGAGCTCTCGACAGGGCCACTCCACTTAGGACACAACCGGAAGAGACAGTCAGCTCACGCTTATCACACGGAATATTATCATACTTTATTTAATTAAACACATTTATAGCATCAAATAGAAATACTTGTTTTCCTTTTATTAAATGACAATTAACAGGCTTTCTATTATTATTATTATTATTATTATTATTATTATTATTGTTATTGTTATTGTTATTGTTATTATTATTATTATTATTAATAATAATAATAATAATAATAA